GTGCTACCAGCATGGTAAACATTTGTGTACGGGGCATATTTTCATGTTAACTCAAACACTGACCTTAGCCCTGATCCTGAGGCCCCGGAATATGGCGTAAGTCCTCTTGTAATGTGGGCTCCGTATTCCTTTGTCCAGCCCAGAATTCGTTAACGTGGCTTAAACGTTCTGTCCTCTACTTGGCTGCATCTGTTTACCTTTATCCCTCTTGACTGGCCTCTAGCTGCGGTAAAGCCTTTTTAAGTCTCATCAGATTTTTCATTTATATGCATGGTACTTTACGTAGTTCAGTGACAATCTTTGTTTTTTGTCCTTCAGGTGGACTCTGGTAGGCCGGTCAGATGAGGAGATGAAGGACGAAGTGAAGGCGGCACTCCACATCCAGACTAATTCTCCAAACTCGACCGAAGACAATTCCTTCTTGGTTATAATGAATAATTACTTTGGAATTGGAATTGATGCCGACCTTTCCCTCGACTTTCACAACGCGCGTTCTGAGAACCCATCAAAGTTTAATAGCCGGTAGGCTCTCCTGCTTTTGAATGTCATGCATCCTTTTCTAAATACTTTCGCTGCTGTAATAAGCACATCCACTTTTCCCGCCATTTTCCACGCCTTGGTGAAAAGGAGAAGTAAGGAAAGCGTTTTAGGCTACTGCCTCTGTCCAGCGTGTCTTTTTGCCGGACCGTAGACGTCCGTTCCCCAAGAAGCTGTAGGCCTATTGATCTAACTGGAAAATACTCGATCATATTTCTGGAGAAGGTAATCTTAGCCTGTCTTATCTTTTATCGCGGGGACAGTGCCAACTTGTAGGTCACAATTTTGCTTTTTTTCAGGGGCATGCGCTTCTTGTTTGGATCGATTTTTCGAGGTGGGAGCAAAGGCGTAAGGTGGTTGGCTGCAAGCTCAGAAAAGGATGCGGTAGCAATATGCGGCGGCTGTGTCGTCCTCTGGCTTACCCAATTAACCTCTGCTAATGAGCACGAGTCCAACTGTAGATAGTATTGAGTTTAGTGAAGCGGCCAGTCATGTGAAGAGCGCTCAGTGGTGGCCTTTTGATAGAGCTTGATGCACTAAGGGTTACTTATCATTATCAAACTGCCGTTTATCTACTTAGTATTAACATTACCGGATTATAACAACGTGCTGGCTATCCCATTTACCTATCAAACCGCCCACACAGTTTTCGGTTTGCTAGAGATGGAGCTGGAGCATCTATATATGTAGATCGGTTTTGTATATATCCATACTTCGTTGATTCGAATTGGATGTCCGAATGTACTGCAGGGCGACTACAT